GATGATGATGATGATGACTATGACTCCTTAAATGCTAAACTGCAACCCTGGACGACCCATGATGCGGTCTTTATCTGTTCCTCTGCTTCTCCTGACCCTGCCTTCTTGTCCGAGGGGATGAGCACCACACGCCTGGGCTTAAGGCAGAATCTGCTCAGTGTGCAGGGCTTAGGGCTGAAGGATTTGGCATGGAGGCTAGCAGTAAGGTTCCCGAACTTACCACGATGGAGGCACTGGGCTTATGGCGTAGCCCGAAATGACCCCGAGGCCTGTGCTAACGTATGAAAACTCGAGAGTATGTCGGCGCTTGGCCTGTTCTGACAAGACCTGCCAGGAACTCACACCGTTCTGTCAGCTCGCCCCCCCCCTATCCGTGATCCCACCCACATCCCAACGAGAAACAGTACATAACCTGTAACTTTATAGTAGCCTACTTGGAAGCAAGGTAACTTTGCAGCAATCATCAGCTAGAACTGAGATTCCGTCGATTGTCACATGGCCACCTTGCGTTACGCACAAGTACCCATGAATCTAGAAGATAGAGAGATCCCGAACCCACAACCCCAAAACTAAAAACCCTTGGTTGCGAGCAGGCGCATCAGGAGTTAAGGGGGCTTGGGTTTAGGGGCTTGGTGTTTTCTGGTTGAATGTTTAAGGTGTCAGGGGTTAGGCTTAAGGGATCGCGGAGGGTTTAGGGTTTAGAGCTTTTTAGGGTTTAACACACATGTAAGCTACGGATGAGCTTTAACAGTACTCCAATCCCCTGTACACCCCGAGCAAAGCCTAGAATCGCCAAAGCCCGACACCACAGAAGTTCAAAAACCTCCCTCCACATGGGATAAATCATAAAACATTAGCCCTAAAGTCTAAACCCTAAACATAAACTCTAAACCCTAAACTCCAAACCCTAAACTCCAAACCCTAAACTCTAAACGCTGAACTCTAAACCCTAAACTCTAGACCCTTCACCGTAAGTTACCCAAAGAGACCCGATGCTGCTTCAGATCCAGGCCTTGGTAACTACAAGGACAGGGGCGGGTTTTGAGGGGTCCGCTTGCTTCAACGCGCGATTACATAGGAAAAACCCAGGGGAAGAAGCAGAACGATGCTAGCTAGCCCTAAACCCTACACCCTAAACCCTGAACCCTAAACCCTACGCCCTCAACGCAAACTGTGCTTCGATGCTTCCTCGGGAGCCCTTGCCGGGACCCGGACTTGCCCCCACCGCACGGCTCGTCGCATGCTGACTTAACCTCAATTGAGCGGGCAGGACATGGAAGGGTTTGAACTCGCGGGGATAGTATAGGGTCGCGAACAATCAGGCTATGATTTCTTTTGGTATAGGTATATGGCGACTTCGATTTAACCCGCCCCAAACCCAAACCCCCGCTCCAAACAACAACATACAACCCCATAGCAACCCATACAGAAACCCATAAAAGCCCGCGCAAAGACCAGCACATAAATACAAACTGAATGTCCTCTATCTACATATGTATGCACGTATGTCTGTATGTCTGTATGT